GCAGTATCCATGACAAGATTGATAAGATTTAAGTGAATTCAGGATCATCTGTTAAACTCTGAATCCTTTGGGGAGCTACCTGAAGGTGGCTTAGCTCCCGAGGACCCACAGGTTGGAGACCCCCACCCTACACTGGTCATTCTGACTTCATCTCTCACAGGCTCATGTACACATACACAGCAGTAAAACACCAACAGAGTGAACGAAATACACTAACTAACGTCTTCGCCCAATTAAACTCCCAATCAGAATCCACATGTCCACCCTATGCTCCGACACGTGAAGGCTCCTGGTGCTGATTCGCCCACGCCCACAGCAGCGCCTTCATGTCGAGGCACAGACTGAGTAGGATCCCTGTTAGCACACATTTACACCAGCTGCGTTTACATACACATACATACATGTTTATTTATACACTGTAGGCATGATTTAATTGCCTCTGTGTTCCCGTGTACCATCTCCCAAGCAGGTGTGTGGATTAACAGAGGATTACTGTGTGGATCATTCTTGCATGTATAAATGTATATGTAGGGATTAGCTGCAAGGTTGATCCGTGATGATCCGGGACGTTTATGTACAATTATTATTTATAGACATTGGTCAAACTTCTCCCTCTGGATCAATGGCTCTGTGGGTTTACTATTGCATTTATCCTGTTTGAACTGAATCGACAACTTTATGTCCTTCAAAACAACAAAAATACATTTATTTGAAGATTATTTATGGTCAGTTTTCCCTGTTCTGGTTCATGTATGCGTGTACTTAGCTAAAATGCCTCTACATTATAGTTTAATTGTATTATATATTCTAGCTTCCTATTGCAATCTGACAATATTGTGATTCTATTCTATTCTGCCTTTTCACGTTTTACTTGTATCAAACTTAGTAGTGGAGATATTATTATGAGAATAGTATGAAGCAGTTTTATTATGCCAAAGTTGTGACGGAATTAGTCAAAAGTAATGCAGTATATCTTAACAGATTCTCAATACTAAATGTCAGAAACAGAATGATTTTAATTGCCTTTTTAAGTAACAGAAAGACACAAATTAGGAATGTGCTTTGTGCTTAAAAATCTACTTAAAATTAGAATTATCCATCCATCCATATATTTTCTCCCCCTTAATTTATTTCTGGGTCAGGGGGGTGGCAGTCAGAGCAACACCCAGTACACTTTGCACCAGCCCCTCACTGATCCTCCTGCAGGTGGTGAGTCCACAGGAGCCTTGATCTTTCAGCAGCGGCTTCAGGCAAAGTGGCCTGAAGCCCCTGTGTCTGGCCCAAGGAGACAACGACAGCAGCCATCAGTGGGAGTCGTGAAGTAGGTCCCATGGTGGGCTCGAACCCACGACCTTCAGGGCCAAAGGCCAATGCTCTACCAACTGAGCCACTGTCGCCCACGATTAGATTAGATTAGAATTAGCTTAACATTTTCACTACACTATAATATTTGGCCTTCTAACCAAACTCCCTGTGACTAAAATCCTCACCTCTCTGTATAAATCCCCTCTGCATAAAAAGATGAAGCGACACGAGCCCCGGCTAAACCTTTTTGCTCAATTTGATTTATAATTATTGCACTGGGGACATTTCCTTCTGTGGTGAGGACTTCTGTGGCAGCTTCTCCCTTTCACTCACATCAGACGATTCATCTCCACGTGTGCTCCCGGCCATTCACCGCCTAAAAGCCTGGCCACATCACACAATAGAGAGAAGGAACGGTGTGACGGTTTGAAAGAGGACAAAAGGAACTCTGGGTTTAACAGACGGAACGGTAATCATATTTTCAGGTATAGGCCACTGGACCAGACCCCTGTCCCTGTGTGGAGAGAGATGCTATGAACCTGTGGAAACAAACGGGACCAGTTAGAGGATAATCAGTGTGAAGTAAGGACAGTGTCACTTCAATTTCAATGTATTCTTGTATGTCCCTAAATCACAACAGTAGTTATCTCAGAGGACTTTACAACACCGTTGAATTCTCCAACACTGATCAGAGAATCAAACAGAAAGCACATTAGTATTGGACCTTAAAGGGACAGATGACCAATGTCCATAAGCATTGATAAATGTTGAGTGTCCTGGATCACCACAAGATAATAATCCAGGCTCTACTCTACATTGTTGTGTTGCCATTATCTGTATATCAGAGTAGAGTAGAGTAGAGTGGAGTAGGGCTGGTGCAAATGTGGAAAGTTACGCAATGTTTGGCTCGGACTCCTCAACCTTTCTATAACTATATGAGTCTTAATACAAGACGTGAGAAGAATTGCAGAGCAGTCTTGAGCGATAAACCAGCACCATTTTATTCCCCCTTCTATAAGAGGTCCTTCTCCCTCAAAGCCTCAGAGGTCTCTCAGCTTGTCCTTTGCTGGGAGGCTTCCATTGAAGGCGCTCATCTGCATGGCTGGGGTGGCACGGCCTGCATCGCCGGGTTGCATTCTCCAAACAAGAGACCTTTTGAAAAACTCAAACTGCCCCCAAAGCCCTGCTCACAATCACGGCCAGATTGCATAATGTTCATTTGGCGCAGGGCTGGGACATTTGGCTCCGCTAGCTCCTCTGCAACCCAATGAAAACACAGGACTGAGGCAGGATTTGGGCTAATCCTCTTATTCCGACTCTGCGCTCGCTCTCTCCCCCTGCTGACGGAAAAGGCACGGTGGAGTTGGCCGAGCAAGAGCGAGAGAACCCCCCCGTGTCCCCCTCGGCCCCAGCTGTAATTGGAAAAATAGATGATATTGGGAGGTGAATTTCTGGCGTAGATTTTCCACGCGCTGACATTGGCGTGTGTCCTTGCCTTGATTGTTTTGGTAACGACTTTCAAAAGAGTAATGCCAAACTCTTAGGGCATGTGGAGAATTGTTGTTTTTGGACTGTGTGTGTAGAAATGGACGGAGTTGCGGGAAAAGCAGTTTTACAATTGGTGATTTAAGCAATAGACGTAGTGTGAAGTGAAAATAATAGGCTTTGTTAATGAAGGAAAAACATTTATGAAAAATAACTAATAACTTAAGTAAAATCCTTTATTATCACGTGACAACAACTCTTTCTGACCACTTATGTCTTGACCAGGGCAGACAAGCATCCCATGATAATAAAGGATTTTTACTTATTCTTACCTTCTTTATTTTCTTTCATAATTGAGCTTTTTGTATTTGTATCCTGAAGAGCACCTGACTCGCATAACCAACCCTCAGCAGGGTTCACTCTCCCTCTTACCCAGGCTGTGTGAAAGACTGAGCAGAGTGTGCACTGTATGTTTTGGCTTCTTACTTTGAGAGAACTACCTCAACTACTTCAATCAATCAACCCTTATTTGTATTTCCTACAATAACTAAAGATTCTTCACTGTCCCAATCTCATAAGGTATAACTATTAATTAGGGCTGTCAAACGATTACATTTTTTTTAGTTGATTAATCGCATAGTAATGGTGAGTTAACTCACGATTAATCGCATGTTTAACATTCTATTTCAAATCCACTCCAATTGAAGTTAAATGAGATTATCAAATATAATTACCAGTGTTGGGTAAGTTACTTTGAAAAAGTAATTAGTTATAGTTACTAGGTACTTCTTCCAAAAAGTAATTGACTTACTAACTGAGTTACTCCACTATAAAAGTAACTAGTTACCAGTAAAAGTAACTATTGCGTGGTACCGAGCTTTAGCTGGCTGTAATTTAGGATAACTTCTAAGTAGATTAATTGTTGCAACAACCCCACCCTATTTTAGTATGATATGTTAGTTTAGGGAACTGTCCTGCAGGCAAACAGGTATAAGACAGGCCAAGGTGCCATTTAATTAAATTGCATTTATTTTTATCCATTGATCAAACAAACAGATTACAAAACTTGCAATTGAAAGAGACTATTTTAAAATAATTAGTTCCCAAAAACCCACACGAGCAACACTCGCGCGTGACAGTCAAGAACCAGGGAAAATACAGTCGGCGGTGAGAACGCAGTACCTGACAGTCAAGAACCAGGGAAAATACAGTGCGCAGAGCGCGCCTGACAGACAAGAACCAGGGAAATTACAGTGCGCAGAGCGCTGAGTATGTGAACGGAGCAATCGCTTGCTGCTGTTATTATAATAGCTAGATCCATGCTTGCAGCCCGTGCAAAGCTTGCACTCACTCACAGCCGCTAACAACAACCAGAGCGGCCACGGAGGAGGCCATCTCACACGCAGCATTCTGAGTGATATTCTTATCGATAAATGGCCGGGTCATTCGGACATGCGTTAATGCGTTTGAAAATAAATAACGCGTTTATAAAAAATGTCATTAACGTGAGTTAACGCGATAATTTTGACAGCCCTACTATTAATACAATGGATACTAAACATTGGGAGATTTTTTCTGTCTGCGAGATCATTTTGGTGGGTATTTACGTGCACGTTTGATGTGCGTCAGATGACCTGGTGTTGTAGCTTCTCTATGCAATTCAATGTCAATGCAAAATCCTCATCTATGACTGTTCTTCGACCTTGTTCATTACCTTTGTGTAAGCTCTCAATCATACAGGGATTAGTCAAAACAAAGAAAGGTTGCTCACCCATCATCTGTGCTTCAGTTGGGAAAACCTGCTAACAGAAGTACAGATGGGGTGAGCAACCTTTCTTTGTCTCCTTTGTCTGGTTCATATTAAAGCTTATTTCTAAAATAAAGAGAACCATATGTCATGAACCGACATAACCACAAGAAATTTAACAATGCAAAAAATCTCTAAAAACAAATTTGGTTTTCTCAGCAGTTTTCACGCACAGTATGTGTGGCCTCTATGACATTTTCAGATCAGATTTATTGGGCAGAGAAGTGAAAAATGGTGTTTGGCATGAAGTGTGTGTAATGTGAAGGTATGTCTGCAAAGGTGTGAATAAATAAACCAAAGCAAAACAGAGCGAGTGCACAGGTGGCAGGATGGGGGCAGGACGGGGGCAGGACGGGGGCAGGACGGGGCAGGATGGGGCAGGACGGGGGCAGGATGGGGCAGGATGGGGCAGGATGGGGCAGGACGACGGCAGGACGGGGGCAGGACGGGGCAGGACGACGGCAGGACGGGGGCAGGACGGGGGCAGGACGAGGGCGGGACGGGGCAGGACGGGGGGGGCAGGATGAGCCGTGAGATGTCTTGGCATGTGCAGATGTTTCAAAGGGGCACGAGGAACACACAGAGAAACACACAGCTCTCACAGATACACACTAGAAGAGGAGAGGACATACACAAAATGTTTGGGGCTGTGACACATATCATTTAGTTTATTGTAAACATTGCACACAAAGGGCAGTTAGTAATGTTAAATAAATAGCTAGTCAGTCCATAATAACAAGTCTTATTGACCTCTGTTTAACCAGGAAAATCTCTCTGAATTGCAGATTCCCTTTTTCAGAGGAATCCTGGCCCCAGAGAGACTATTAGACTTGTTTTTAGAGGTAGGGGAAACCAAAGCACCTGGAGGAAACCTACGAAGACTACGAGAACATGCAAACTCCTCACAGAAAAGTCTGTCTGTAGGAAGAATTGAACCCGGGACCTTCTTGCCTAAGGGCTAACCACTGCGCCACCGTGCCTTTCTTATTTTTGGGTCAATTTTGGGTTTGAAAGACGGTTCAAAATGGTCAAATTTGGAGAATTCTGGGAGTCCTAGTATTAAGAGTCAATAAAAACCTTTTGGCCCCTGATCCAAAATGAGTTTAACACCGTCTGACTTATTTATAAAGACATTTCTTGACTGCTGTTCCCAAAAAACAAGAAAGGGTTGCAGCCGCTGTTGTGCTCGAAAAGGTTATTAGCTGAAGTGCTGTGACCTCCTCTACCTCGCTCCACTCCCTCAGCTCTGCGTAGGAAAAGGCCACTGCAGAACATATTTCCCTCCATTTCTACACCCTGACCTTCCCCTTCCCCGGTCTCTCCGTCCTGTCATCTTCCTCCTCTTTTACAGTCTCTCGAGCCGCTGTTTCCGCCTCGTCTAGACCCCTCCCTGAAGTCCTCCAAACCATCTGATCCTAATCCGGCCGGACACCTCGGAGAGCTCTTTCACCTCACACTTAGCCCTCCCTGATGGCCCTCACAGATCCGTATAAAGGGCTTCTTATCCCGGCTAAACAAACAGCCTCTTCAGAGATCCAAGGAGAGCGCTGGAGAGGGCTCTCGGACAGATGCAAGTGTGTCAACTGGGGAAGGTGTTCATGTGAGGACAGAGAGGGGTAGACATTGGGAACAGGAACTCGAGGAACATTCGAGACCTGAATCTACTACATTCTTGATCAGTTATGGGATTAATTACCTGCTGTATACATTTTGTGATGATTAAAGCAACAGAAGTAGCCATATTCAGACTCCGATAATTTGCCTTTTGCCGTAAAACCAGATTGGAATACATTTGTGAAAGTACCCCAGTGTGCACCAGACAAGTACATGAAATAAAACAAGCTAAAACGTACAAGCAATAATTGTCACAGTGAAACCAATCAGCAAAAGTCTAGCCATCACCTCTGCGCCAGCTCTTGTGTCCTTTCCAAGACTCTTGCATTAGTATCTTTGATAGATGGGACCATTTTTCCCAAGTCTTACCATTGACTGTATAATGCTGGACAAAGCTAACTTTCAAACTCAATTACGCTAAAATTGGGACTGAAAGTTTGAAGTTTTGCTCCAACTCTGCTCCTTTTGACTTTGCCAACACTGTTCAAAGCAAACGCCCGTATAAAGAAATTGGCTCCAGCTAGCTTATGATCAAATCGGCTTCTTCTGCATTCAGCCAACATCAGCACTCTTAATGTATGGTCTTACCCAAGAAAGTGTAGAATTATGTGAAAGGGCTTTTGAGTCTTTCTGTAAATACAGATTGGTTACTACTTTGTGGAAAATGTATGGAGCGAAGTTGGGTCCCAGAACTTGCGTGCCATAGAAGACTGACATTTTGACTGTCATTCAAAAGTCATCTTACAAAAATTTCTGCATGACCGTTGTAACATCTCAATGGTCAAGATCACACCATGCATTACTTGAACATTTTTGAAAACATTCTTCTGTGATAATCCAATTTATTTGACCGTGACGTAGAATACACGGTGGAAATGGAAGTGTTGGAGTCTGAATGTTGTGTGCTGAGTGCAGAAGTTGTGTGCTGCCTCCGGGCCGCTGGTTTGTAGATGCAGTGGAAAGACCATGGGGAGTAGACAGAGGCAGTCTGGAGTTGAGCTCACTACTTTTGTGAAAATCAAAGCCTTGCGATAGACGTGGGAAAAGGAACATCTGCACTCACACCTATTTGGAAGTGGCATCAAATGATGTTATATAAACTCATGTCCCGATAACATTTTTCGATCTTAAATATACTTAAATCTTGATCAGCTGTGAGATTTACCAGCTATATACATTGTTAGTTGATAAAAGCATCAGCAGGCCCCATATAGACTTTCATTTTTGATCTAGTACCACAATTTCACAGATCTTGGTTCTATAATTTCAAATATTAGGTATGAAGGCTATAAATACATTATGATATTAACTTCAAAAGTTCATAAAATGTGAAATTATTATATGATATAGACCAGAGAGAGAGAGAGACCAGATAGAGACCAGAGAGAGACCGAACAGAGACCAGAGAGAGACCGTACAGAAACCAGATAGAAAAACCAGAGAGACAAACCAGAGATAGAGAGAGTAGAGAGAGAAACCGTAGAGAGACCAGAGAGAAAAAACCAGATAGACAAACCAGAGACAGACCAGAGAGAGAGAGTAGAGAGACCAGAGAGAGAGTAGAGAGAGACCAAAGAGAGAGTAGAGAGACCAGAGAGAGAGTAGAGAGAGACCAAAGAGAGAGTAGAGAGAGACCAGAGAGACCAGAGAAAGACCAGAGAGAGAGTAGAGAGAGAGACAAGACCAGAGAGAGAGACCAGAGAGACAGTAGAGAGAGACCAGAGAAAGACCAGAGAGAGAGTAGAGAGAGACCAGAGAAAGACCAGAGAGAGAGTAGAGAGAGACCAGAGAGAGACCAGAGAGAGTAGAGAGAGACCAGAGAGACCAGAGAGAGTAGAGAGACACCAGAGAGAGACCTGAGACAGTCCTTTGACTGAATCACAGCATTGCACAAAAGTTTTTTCTTCTTGACTTCAAAGGTAACTGTCATGTTTTACTTGTGGTTTTATGATGTTGCTTTAGTTGCAAATAATCTGAATCTCGGCTCTAAATATAGAAGAAAAACCTCTGTGCATTTGCTTCAATTATACAGGATCCAGAATGATCTAAAGAGGAGCGTCTTTGATATGATAAAAAGCCAATAGACATCCTGAACCATGTCACCTCTCTCCGTGAGGTGCCGTTAAGCTAATTAGCCATGTTGTATTTACGCAGCACATGTGTAGGCGTGATAACATCTTCACTATAACATGCCCTGGAATTTAATTATTCAAGAATTACGACTGGCCTTTTGTTTTAATGGATCCCTTTCTCTCTGTGCCCTGCTTTTATTCATCCTTGGAGGAAGATCCCCCTTGGACTGCCACCTTAACGTGGTGGGGGAGTTTGAGCACTCGGATGATCCTGGGAGCTATGCTGTCTGGGGCTTCATGCCCCTGGTAGGGTCTCCCATGGCAGACAGGTCTCAAGTGAGTCAGACGAAGCGCAGTCCGAAGCCAACCATGGACAGCACGACAACAAAAACCGTGACGTCGCCCGGCATGGCGCAGCCGGGGCCCCACCCTGGAGCCAGGCCTGGGGTCGGGGCTCGCAAGCGAGCGCCTGGTGGCCGGGCCTTAGCCCACGGGGCCCGGCCGGGCTCAGCCCGAAGGGATGACGTGGGCAGTCCCTCCTGTGGGCCCACCACCTGCAGAGGGGTCCGTGGTGGCGTGGTGCAGCGAGGACTGGGTAGCAGTCGAAGGCGGAGACCTCGACGACCCAGTCCACACACCCAACATCTGGCTCTTGGGACGTGGAACGTCACCTCACTGGGGGGGAAGGAGCCCGAGCTTGTGGGGGAGGTTGAGCGATACCGACTAGAGATAGTCGGCCTCACCTCCACACACGCTCCACTTTTCTGGTGTTTCCCGCGGGGAGAGGCGGCGAGCTGGGGTGGCCATACTCATTGCCCCCCATCTCAGCCGCCACGTGTTGGAGTTCTCCCCGGTGAATGAGAGGGTCGCGTCCCTCCGCCTCCGGGTGGGGGACAAGTCTCTCACTGTTGTGACGGCCTACGGGCCTAACGGTAGTGCAGAGTACCCGGCCTTCTTGGAGACCTTGGGAGGGGTACTGGACAGTGCACCGCCCGGGGACTCCGTTATTCTCCTGGGGGACTTCAACGCCCATGTGGGAAATGCCAGTGACACTTGGAGAGGGGTGATCGGGAAGAGCGGCCCCCCTGATCTGAACCCGAGCGGTGTTCAGTTGTTGGACTTCTGTGCTAGTCACGGCCTGTCCATCACGAACACCATGTTCGAGCACAAGGGTGTCCATCAGTGCACGTGGCACCAGGACACCCTAGGCCGGAGGTCGATGATCGACTTTGTTGTCGTATCATCTGACCTTCGACCGCGTGTCTCGGACACTCGGGTGAAGAGAGGGGCGGAGCTGTCAACCGATCATCACCTGGTCGTGAGTTGGATCCGCTGGCAGGGCAGGAGGCCGGTCAGACCTGGCAGGCCCAAGCGTGTAGTGAGGGTTTGCTGGGAACGTCTTGCTGAGCCCCCTGTCAGACGGACTTTCAACTCACACCTCCGGGAGAGCTTCTCCCAGGTCCCGGCGGAGGGGGACATCGAGTCCGAGTGGACCATGTTCTCTTCCTCTATCGCCAATGCGGCGGCTCGTAGCTGTGGTCGCAAGGTCTCTGGTGCTGGTCCCGGCGGCAATCCCCGAACCCGGTGGTGGACACCGGCAGTAAGGGATGCCGTCAGGCTGAAGAAGGAGTCCTATCGAGCAATGATGGTTCGTGGGACTCCTGAGGCAGCTGTCCAGTACCGGCAGGCCAAACGTGCCGCGGCCCGGGCTGTTGCAGAGGCAAAAACCCGGGACTGGGAGGAGTTCGGAGAGTCCATGGAGCATGACTATCGGTCGGCCTCGAAGAGGTTCTGGCAAACCGTCCGGCGCCTCAGGAGGGGGAAGCAGTTCTTTGCCAACACCGTGTATGGTGCGGGTGGAGGGCTGCTGACCTCGACTGAGGATATTGTCGGGCGGTGGAAGGAATACTTCGAGGTTCTCCTCAATCCCCCCGTCACGTCCTCCGTTCAGGAGGCAGAGGCTGAGGATGTTGGGGCGGACACTTCCATCTCCCTGGCCGAGGTCACCAGGGTGGTGGGCAGCCTCCATGGTGGCAAGGCGCCGGGAGTGGATGAGATCCATCCTGACTATCTAAAGTCTCTGGATGTTGTAGGACTGTCTTGGCTGACACGTCTCTGCAGCATCGCGTGGCGATCGGGGGCGGTGCCAATGGAGTGGCAGACCGGGGTGGTGGTCCCTCTCTACAAGAAGGGGGACCGGAGGGTGTGTTCCAATTATCGTGGGATCACACTCCTCAGCCTCCCCGGTAAGGTCTACTCCAAGGTACTGGAGAGGAGGCTACGTCCGATGGTCAAATCTCGGATTCAGGAGGAGCAGTGTGGTTTTCATCCCGGTCGCGGAACACTGGACCAGCTCTATACTCTCCATCGGATACTCGAGGGTTCATGGGAGTTCGCCCAACCTGTCCACATGTGCTTTGTGGATTTGGAGAAGGCGTTCGACCGTGTTCCCCGGGGTGTCCTTTGGGGGGTCCTCCGGGAGTACGGGGTCCGGGGTCCTCTGCTGAGGGCCGTCCGGTCCCTGTATGACCGGAGTCAGAGCTGTGTTCGCATTGCCGGCAGTAAGTCAGACCTGTTCCCGGTGCATGTTGGCCTCCGGTTCTGTTCACTGTATTTATGGACAGAATTTCTAGGCGCAGCCAGGGGCCGGAGGGGGTCCGGTTCGGGAACCACAGGATTTAATCTCTACTTTTTGCGGATGATGTTGTCCTGCTGGCTCCAACGAACCAGGACCTGCAGCATGCACTGGGACGGTTTGCAGCCGAGTGCGAAGCGGCTGGGATGA